ATGTATGTATTATAAATATATATTTGATTTCAAGAGCAAGGAAGATAAATCTCTAGATGCCATAAGTTAATAGGTAATTCTATATCTATCCTGGTGAGTTAATGCTTCAGGAACTATTACCCACATGGCCAGGGATATATTTGTTTTAAGTTAACAGTTGTGGGGGAACAAAAATCAAAGCCTCTGAACTTGAACACAACAGGAAATTGGGAGAGAAATTACAGTGCAGAGGTTAAAAATTGTCCTAGGCAATTTCTATGAGTAGAAATAGAATCACTTACAAGAAAATAGAAAAGCTGGGTTTGCACATGAGGTTTAAACCTTCACCACTCATGAAGTACAGAGACTCTAAGATAGAAACAGAGGAAGAAACTTGAGAAATCATGAGCCTTAACACTGAGGTAGAGGCAACTTTGGGGAGGTTTCCACAATCTGGGGCACTAGTGGGAACACCTCCACCTCCACCACCTCTGAGAAATAATTCCCATAGAGGATGAGCTCACACACAGAAATTGTAAAACATTTGAGGAAGACCAATATGAAGAATATAAACAATTATGAATTATTAAAATAGATTATAACAAGTTACACAGCATTTGAGGAAATCCAATTGAAGAAAAGCATCCCACAAAAAAATGGGAAAATAGAAACAATGGAGTAATATAAAAAGAGACTTAAAAATAAGTATATTTAAGGTGTTTAAAACAAAAATAAGAAATCATTTTTTTAGAATTTAAAACCACTTTTTTAGAGTAGTTTTAGGTTCACAGCCAAATTGAGGGGAAGGTACAGCGACTTCCCATATACACCCTGTCCCCACATATGTATAACCTCCCCCACTATCAACATTCCCACCAGAGCAGTATACCTATAATAATAAAAGGGTAATATGCTAATTAGACCAGACATCCTTCCGGACATCATTCTGGACGAAACCAGGATCGGAGGGAAGCCTGGGTCCCGGGTGCCAGAGTGAAGCCAGTGCCGGCAGCTGGGAGAAGGAAGGCCTACTCTTGCACGAATTTTGTGCATTGGGCCTCTAGTTTGTTATAATTTATGAACCTACATTGATACATCATTATCACCCAAA